GTGCCTTTGGCAGTCTCAGACAACCTCCTTCCATCAGCAAGGGCATTGAAGATGAAACGTGGCTGGGTCTATGAGAGACAAATGATCCCAAACACACCGCCCGGGCAACGAAGGAGCGGCTTCTTAAGAAGCATTTCAAGGTCCTGGAGTGGCCTAGCCAGTCTCCAGATCTCAACCCTATAGAAAATCTTTGGAGGGAGTTGAAAGTCTGTGTTGCCCAGCGACAGCCCCCAAAACATCAATGCTCTACAGGAGATCTGCATGGAGGAATGGGCCAAAATACCAGCAACAGTGTGTGAAAACCTTGTGAAGACTTACAGAAAACGTTTGACCTCTGTCATTGCCAACAAAGGGTATAGAACAAAGTATTGAGATTAACTTTTGTTATTGACCAAATACTTATTTTCCACCATAATTTGCAAATAAATTCTTTAAAAATCAGACAATGTGATTTTCTGGATTTCTTTTCTCATTTTGTCTCTCATAGTTGAGGTATACCTAGGATGAAAATNAGTGGAGGACAGAGGAGGCTCTTAAAGAAGAAGTTACAGGTCTGCTCTTTAAAAATCAGACAATGTGATTTTCTGGATTTCTTTTCTCATTTTGTCTCTCATAGTTGAGGTATACCTAGGATGAAAATTACAGGCCTCTCTCATCTTTTTAAGTGGGAGAACTTGCACAATTGGTGGCTGACTAAATACTTGTTTGCCCCAATGTAAGTGTCAACTTTGAGTGAAGTCACCAAAAGTGTTGCATTTTAGTCGAAAGAGAAAGAACTTTTGGAAATAGTCGCAATGATGGTTCTGCTTCTTGGTGCAGGAACACTTGTACACTGGTGTTGGCAGTTTTAACAAGTGTTTGTAGCTTTTTACAGATTGTTTCCATGTCAAAGAGCACTTGGACACTTGATCAACATCACTTATGCACTCCAAGCCTCCAGGAAGTGTGCCGGACGTTGAATGTAATGTGTGTAGTGGCCAAAAGGTGGTACTACATCTCATGTGTCAGTCTGTGACGTAATTTGGACCAAAAATACTTTTTCCCATTGACATCGAGAAAGAAATGTCTGTGAATCAGTGGATATTTTATTTTGTACTGAATCAATTATACAGTATAAACACTTGGATAGCCCTTATTCAAATTAGTAGGGTCTAAAAATGGCCTAAACGCTAAATCCAGAGTTATTTTATAATCTACGCATTCTGTATCGGCCCAGATATGTTCATCCACATTGAGCGACTTTTATAGGAATTAACCGGGTCCCACCTCAAACAATGTGGCCAGTTATTTTTATACATTCATGATCCACCCACGCTTATATGTAGTAGCTTAAGTAGTTTTGTTGTGTGGTTACATTGCAGTGAATACAAGTGATGGCCCTCAGCACCATCTAGTAAGCTACAGATGTATTACCATATGGTTAGAAGTGGAGTTTTCAAAGCAAGATTTCATAATAATAATAATAATAATAATAAATGTATTTTGTTGTGCTTTTACAGGTGCTCAAAGTCGCTTTACAGAGATAGTGAAAAGAAAAGAACAACAAATAAATATAGTTGAAGTCAAATAAACATTTAGCAATATAACAACAATCACACTTTAAAAGCCAGATTGAAGAGGTGAGTTTTTGTGATATCTCGCCATCAATAGTACAATATTTAGAAAAAAGTTGCTGCCTATTGTAATACTGCAGCTGCTCTTTCTCACACAGAAAGTGAGTCAAAGACAGAAAAGCAAGAGAGAGAGACTGCAGAGATCTGAGGACATGAGCAGGTGTTGAACAAAGAGAGAAACACAGAGTGAAAAGCCACGGGGGAATGAAAGATGTGAAACCAAAAACAACGGGTAGTGACCTCTGTTCTGCGGGCTGGAGCCTGGAGCAGGAACTCAGCGGGTGAAGAACATCAAAAAGTGTCGTGACTGAACCAGAACTGATACCAAATATACATCTTTGACATCAACACAGCGTTAGTTTATGCCTGTTTAACGTTTTTACACCTTCTTCACATGCGTTTAATCCACACATTGTAATCCCTTGAGACAATTACATTACATTTAGCTGACGCTTTTATCCAAAGCGACTTACAATTACCAATCACAGGGACATTCTCCCTGGAGTAACTAAGGGCTAAGTGCCTTACACACTAGTGGAGGTCTTCCTGGCGGGATTTGAACTCACAACCTTCCGATCTTCAGCCCACCTCACTATCCATTAGACCACCACAATACCAATTCCTGTCAATAATGTCCAACATGTACCAAAGCCCTGAGAGGCTAGTTTGGAGGATCAATTTTCATAGTCTGATTATCTTGTTCCCCCTATGTTTATGCATAAAGGCGAAAAGATAACTGTTTTTGCAAGGATAAACTTTCTAGTTCCCTAAATAAATTAGGCAAACACCTGTGATCAGGTGGGGGAAATAAATTGCAAGGTGGAAAGAAAAGGTTTAGCCAAGATCACTTTATAAATTCAATTACTGTGCCATCTGGGAAAGCAGATGAAAGTGCAAGTTATTTTTTGATGCACTCAAACACAAGGGACATCAATGGCTAAATAAAATGCTTTCAGTGCGGTTTAGAACATGGGTTGTGGTGCATTTCAGCCTCTTGTGGACAAGATAGGTATTTTTTTTTTCAGACATGATGAAACTTTCCTGAAATTATCCTGGAAAAACCTTTTTATTTTACCTCCAGAACTTAAAGTGCACTAATCATGCTATTTTTAGGCAATAGCATAGGTCTGAGATATATAAAAAAACATGTCTATGAAGTGTTTTGCTCAAAATACCAAACAGATCACCCATTCTAGACATGCCTCATATCCCTCTATTTCACTTCCCGTTTCAAACGTGCTGATTTTGTGTATAAAGCTTTAAAAAAAAAAAAAGATTGATAAAAAAAAGGAGGGGTCTGAGCTCATGCGGGACCCGGCAGCTACTGTCTAAACTAAACACTGCCGTGATGAAACGCCATATCATGGATTATCAAGGATTATTTCTGAAACAGTATGGAGCTCAAAGGCTTTCTCTCTTGCCGGTTATACCACAAGGTGAGTTCCTTTTTACTTCCTGCTTCTTCACACACATGCTCTCCAGTACAGGTTAGCTCTGAGTGTTAGCCATGCTAATGTAAACACCGACCATATTACGTCCAAAACAGTAGGGCATTGTTTCTGATAGCAACGTTTCTGATAGGGCCGTGGGTCCACATTTCCGATATTACGTCATATCGGACGCAAATCTGGATCAGCTCCGTTGCAGCCCCGTTTTTAGAGATGTGGGTACGGAGGAAAAGAGAGAGGGTTTTATTTTCTGACGCTGCGTGAGTTCCCTGACACACCGGGGACACATCTTTATGTATGAAAGACATCAAAAAGTGCATTTTGCATGATAGGTCCCCTTTAACTTCAGAAAGGGGTACTAACCTTTGGTGGTGGTGGTCTTAGAAGTGAGCTCCAGAGTCTCGATGTCCTCAGATCCGATGTTCTCCAAGGTGATGGTGAGCGGCTGCATCTCTCCGTTGAAAAGCTGGACGGAAACGGTGCTCGACAGTTCTTCTTTAGACGTCGGCTGAGGCGTGTGAGCTGACCTGTTTAGGAAGAAGGGACATTTTCAGTCATGATAGGAAGTAAAATATACTAATTGGACTGTTTGTATGTTCCCTTAAGTGTTGGTTTGATGTATTTATAGTTTAAATGGACTTAATGAGGCAGTAAGCAGTCCAGTCAGTTAATTAATCAGAATCAGAAACAGGTTTATTACCAGGTAGGTTTACACGTACGAGGAATTTGACTTGAAGTCGTGGTGCATAAAAACAAGAATTAAAAACACAGGTAGAGAAGTAGAAAAATATTACAAATATAATTAAGCAATAGCTCACGACAGGCCGTGGTATGTGCTCATTATATCACAGCTAAGGGGCGTGGTTCGGCCAGACGCGAAGCTCAGTATATCACGGCTAAGAACCAATCAGATTGCTTGATTTGACTTGTCCGTTTTATAACAGTATTTACATTGCAATGGAAGGAAATAGAGGAATAAAATATGGAACAAAAATCAGCTGCAATACAAAATAATGTTGTACATTGTATGCATTAATGCTAATACCAAGATGAGTTTACTCAAGACACAAAAAAACGACCCAATCAAGGTAAAATTACAATTTTCGTTGATTGGAGTCAGTTTACTTTAAAGAGTCCCTTCAATCTCAAAAAGGATTGCAAGGAAAATCGCTGAAAATATTCTTAGTATCGCATATATTTTAACCAATTTAATATTTTTTTTAAAAAGGTGGCTGCTGTCTCCATCCACAAACACTGATAGATAAGCACTTCATAACACCCCATTTCAATCAATCCCTTCAAGGCATCCATATAAATGAAGATTTCTGAGAAAACAAGATATAAAACATTTAATGGCGATGCAAGTTGAACGTGGCTTAATATGATGGAAACAGTTCTATTATACTTCCATCATAATGTGAATAACACTTCGAGAAGCATTAATCTCAAGATGTGTGAAGACGTGGTTTCAAATGCTCTCTCACATTGTGAAGAAGCTGAAAAGTGCTTCTTGGAATCTCACTAGCTGGAACGTCATTTGTTGATGATTGATGTTGATTTCCTCACAGGGGAGTCTAGCTGAATGAAATGTATGTACTGTAGTGTTTACAATGTGATGTATGTCCATTTATGGGTAAGCGAGTCTTACCCTAGGTGTATAAAAAACAAAAAAAATGTTTTTGTTTCTGTTTCTGTTTGTCCATCTGCAGCATTAAGGGAAAAGCTAATGGCCCGATTTACTTTGACACTTGATGGAACGGTGTAGCTTTGGCCAAGGACGAACCCATTTCATTTTGGAGCAGATGGCAGCAGATACACTTGCATTGACTCACGATTTCACTCACCAAGGGCCTTTCTAGTTTAGGAATGGTCAGTAGATCGACTTCGTATTGATGAAAGACACATGCATTTCCAAGCATTTGGACTACCTATGTTGCAAATGTATTATCTGTTCAATTTATACAAGGCATCTATTGCACGTCTGTCCGTCCTGAGAGAGGGATCCCTCCTCTGTGGCTTTCCTCAAGGTTTCTTCCAGTTTCCCCATTAACTGTGGGGTTTCTTTGGAAGTCTTTCCTTGTACGATGTGAGGGATATTGGGCTATATAAATAAACATTGATTGACATTGATTGATTGATGAAAGACTTGCATACAGGGAAGGACACACTTTTACTCAAAACATCTAGAAAGTACAGAATATACTATAAAAAGGGAACTTTCTGTATGTATGGCTATCCAGAAATAAAATACAGCATATCATACAGCATATAGAGCCCTGGCCTATAACTCTAAGAGTCCTTTTAAGAGCAAATCTCTACTTCTGTCATGTTTTCTTTGAGAGTTCAAACTATGGGTCTTCTTGTACATCTGAGTCAGCGACATCCCAGCAAAGCACTTTCATCAGCTGTCAAAAACTAAACGCCTGCAGCTGATGCTTCAAGGCTAAAAGAGCGTCTGCTTTTAGTAAAGTAATGCAAATACTGAAGCAAAATAGAATATTATGAAAGGTCAAAGCAAGGGTTCTCATGTCATTCCGCATGCAAGAGTGCCTAGCTTGTTAAAATGCACATAACACACTTTGCCAAAGGCTAGGATTATAATACCTGTCATCACCAACTGCCTTTACGTTCCTTGTGATATTGACAGTAGGTCAACTCGAAATGTTACTGACATTTCAAATGCATTTGGAGGTTAAAATAGAGTAATCATGGAAAACCTTATTTGAATCCAAAAATCTTAATACGTTTGCAAGACAAGCAACACACATTGTTTGTGTTTCAGCAGATATTTCTGAGGTACATGGAGCATTTCAGGTTCATACCCTCTTCCTGAACAGCTTTGTTTCAGCGCCTGTGTCTTTAAGCCCGTCTGCTTTGATTGGCTTGCGAGAAAATTATTATGCAAAGATCTCTCTCAAGATGTGGGTGGAAAGGATCAGATTAAGAGCAGTTTAATATCATGACGAAGTGGAGCAACCTTTTTAATCCCAAGCTTTTTGACAAAGAAGCCGCTAAAATGACCATGTTTTATTTTTTACAGTTTTTGGAGTTGGTAGGAACTCTAGATATCCAAATATATCTGCAGCAGCACTGAAAAGGTTTGTTTCTTTATGATATTACTGATAGTAAAACTCTTTTATAAAACATGGCTGCTGGGATGTGATAGTCTGAGGGTGTCGAGGAGGGCTCCTCCAGAGCCAGTATTTCAAGGATGCTACGTCATCGAGTGCCGCCGAAGGACTGTTCCAATGTCCAGGATCCTTGGAATTCTACAGAGGCCGGCTTCCTTCGTTGCGGGAAATTTCGAGGCTGCACATGTGTATCCTCTGCGGTCTTAAAATCCCCACAATGCTTTGCGCAGGAACCAATTTCCCAAATCTTTGGCGGAAATCGCGCTCCATTTAAGGCGGAGCCTCGCATATGACGCACACCTGCACACCTGTTAGCCTGTTAGCCTGTTATTGTCATACTGATATTCTGTACAAACTGTGAAGTCCACTGAGACAAATGTAACATTTGTGATATTGGGCTATATAAATAAACATTGATTGATTGATTGATTAGCCTGTTAGCCTGTTAGCCTGTTACACCATTTTTCGTTTTCCGAGGCTAGGAAGGATTCTTGCCTCGCTTCTGAAGGAACTGACTCAGAAGACATGTCCTACCAAGGAAGCGTCCTCGACATTGAGAAACACCCAGTGGCTCTTGCACTTGAAAAAGTTGAAAAATACTCAAGCTAATGTTTAAAAGTAGAATTCTCCACCTTTTTACGTTCTCTCAGTGTTGATAGTAAGTATGTCCATTTGAGCAACACATTTCTTTTTTCCCAGCATGCAGCGCTGTCATTCGACGTGACAGTGAATTAGTTGAAGGTAAGGGAGAACTTCTGGCTATTTCAGTTTTATATATTTCTACTCTCCGCTTCTGCGTGTCCGTGGGGTCTGCTCTAGATGCTAATCAAGAATAGCTACGATTCAAATATAGCATAAAATATGATAGTAGAACAGTAAGAGGATGTTCGGCCATAATTATTTGAGCCAGAGAATTCAGCAGAATAAATGAAGCGGAGAGAGGCTGCTGTGTGAGAGGACATAGCTGGCGGGCGCTCAGTAGCTCACATGCAATGCATTCTGGTCCATATACAGTAGGCACTGCCGACACAGCTCCCGAGCAGAAAAACTCTCGGTCAATGTAGCACGCAATCACTGAGTTTATTGCTTCAGTTTTCATTTGCCATCAACACAGATTGGACATGCACACTAAAAGGTTTGCAGATGTTTCCTTTCTCACTCATGTTGGTTATGTGAGAAAACTAAGAATGCAGCTACTGTATGTGCTGCAGGCAAAAGGATATGTGAGAAAGCTCTGAAGGCTTCTCTTCGACTGAGGTCAGAGCTGCAGGTCTACCTGAGCACCAGTGAGAGGATTAGATTTGTATTCTAGTTGCTTCACGTATTCGATCCGGAAGTTTTCCAACACTGGAGAGAAGATTGTCCACATCAAAGGCAGCTGAAGCGCTGTACCTACAGGCATGACCTAAATAGTTGATTTTCCAGCAGCTCTGCTGTCAGAATGATTTATAACATCCCAACGCAGTGCTTTACTCGTGGTAATTCAACCCATGATTTCTCCTCTTATGGTACTTTTCCTTCATGGAAGATGTCATTTCTGCTGACAGGATGTACATGAAAACAAATTCCCCTGCAACCCTGATGTTTGTGTTGTCAAACCACTGAAGCGTTTGCCAACATAGGATAAAAGAGATGCTTCGTAACAAATGTCTGTCTTATTTATTAAGCTATGTACTAATGGTTTGGTTTGTTCAATGCACATGAGTCATTGCACATTTAAATTAAATGCACAACACTTACTTGTTATCCCTTTTTCTGTTGCAATTAGGCTATTTGGGTTTTTGCAATTACGTATCTGAATACTGGTAATATTTACATTCAGTGTTTCCCTTACCATTGTATTGGAGGGGCGCTGCGCCCCCCTGAAATTCAAGGTGTTTTAAAAAAAAAAATTGTTATATATATATATATATATATATAGCACCAAATTGCAACTAATCTATATATATTGTCACTATTCACATTGAACATGTGCTCGTTCATTAAATAGACTAAACGCTTTAATTGTAAGTTGTGAGTTTAGTGTTTTTGACCCTAAGAAACAGCATTAATCAATAACAATAATCCACAGCTCCTCTCTCTGCTCCAGAGGATTTAAAAACAATAAGGCTCCTCTCAATAAATGCAAGAGATGCAGAATTATCTCAACAATGTATCATTTAAATTGTTCATCTTCCTCAGACGTCACTCATTGGCTGACAGCCCAACGATGATTTGGACGTTATTACCCCAAAAACCCAAGCCACAGCTTTGCTATCATTTCAGTTTAGTTGTGTTTATATCCTACATTTGATTTTTAAGCATTTAATGCTCCACCGAACACATGAGGGGACTTGGCTGTCTACAAATAAAGACGGCTAATTTTAATTCTCCTCAAATATATTGAGGCTGAACCTGAACTTTCTAGTGGCCGCGGGGGCCCTATGCATCTGCAAAGTCCGCCTATAGGAAGAAACGGTACTGTGTGACCGTCTATGTTTCCTGTGGATATTGAATTGCTCTTTTGACTGCACTGTTGGTGTACAGTTTTAATATTATGCTGCTGTGTTTATTGCATTTTTGTAACTCTGTCTATCTTCGGGATAAATAAAGTCTTATCTTCCCTTTTCTATAATGATTTGTGTGCATGTAAATAGTTAGCAAAGGCTAAAATACCAAAGCTCCCCCCTTACAGTATATTAAGGGAGTTTCCCTCCCACAGTTTTCTGCCATCAGCAAACTATTGATTTACAAAACACCTATGGCTGCATTTCATCTAAAAGCACTTGTTAAATCTCATCTTCATTCTGAAAGACGTTTACACAGTGGAAGCATTTGTCTGTGTTATTAATTGTTCCAACTGTTATTTTTAGTTTGAGCCTTAATTTGGCATTTGAGCGTGCAACACATCAACAGGCTGGTGACACTTACACAGAGGAACATGTATCTTGCGTTACATGTTGGGAAATGTTGTATCAACACTATCTAAGTGCAGTGTGAGAGTAGTAAGACAGTGAACCATTTTTCATCGTTTTGGCTCCGTGCTGGATGTGAAATGAAACAATAGCTGTGAGGGCAAAGTGCTGACTTTCAGCTTTAGCGGTGTTTGAGGGTGTTCACATCAATCGTGGGTGAGCAGTGTAGGACTCGTTGACCTTTTTATATTTTTACAGCGGAACAGAGCAAGGTTCTCCCAGTACAGTCTATCACATGACCTCTTTTCAATTGAGCATGTGTTTCACTTACTGAAGAGCAGAGTGAGGCCGAAAGGTCCTAACAGGAGGAGGTGACTGCAGATATTATGCCATGAAGAACTGAATACATTTTATAAGAGGTGTGACTTAATACATGTAAATCAGGGGTGTCAAACTCAAGGCCCGGGGGCCAAATCCGGCCCGAGACTTCATGTTATGTGGCCTATAATAATAATGATTATTATACGGTTACATGCCGCTTTACAGAAGCACGTTGCCCATAAACTACATGTCCCACAATGCATCTCAAATTTTACTTGTTCTCAGAATTGGACATATTTTTTTCAAAATTTCACTTTTTTTTTTTTTTTTTTTTCCGAACGACTGAGACTCACCCTCAAACTCAGGGAGGAACGGCGACGGAGAGGAGAGGGACGTCCAGACCCAGGAGATGGGCAGGAACAATCCGCGAGGCGCTCGGTCGCACCGGAGGACAGATGCCCCTCAGGTCGACCTTTTGTACGAGGTTAAGAGACACATCGAGTAATTTTCCCTCGACCACATTGACACCCTAAGAGAACCGTGTGTCGAAATCATAGCTTGTTTGTAATCGAAAGAGAATTTGAAATCCAAGGACCAAGAAATGTTGTAGTGATTCTGACATATATTAGTTTGACGTTATACCTGTCAAAGTCGAAGTTAGGAAGACGATAAATAATTACAAAATCAAATAATAAACGGGAATAAAAAAAATAAAAAAAAAACAAGTGGACATTCGCCCGGACCAGGGAACTTCGGCGATACTGTTTACATTAGATAAAAATAATAATAAGTAATTATATACCGATGATAAAGTCATTCCCGTTTATACACTTTTCAGGAGGACATTTTACAACTAGTATAGGTTACGGTTATAGCTAGTAATACTGAACTTGATCGGATATAAAGGTTAGTCACGTCGGGATTTGAGTAGGTGACTTCGACCTACAGATATACAACACAAACTGCGTCCAATGGTGTGCAGACCACAAGCCCACACTGGTCACTGACGGACGACGCTCCAGAGTGGTCACACTCTGGGTCACCGACGAACCACCTCCGAGGGAGAGAGGGGGCAGACGGTCGAGCGCCAGAGACGTGCCACTCTAGGTAGTAGGGGAGTTTACACGAAGTGAACAAGTCGGGACTCATTCAAAAGTCCAAAGCCGAGCTTTTACTGTAAGGGTCTTAGTTGCTGATATAGATAGAGTGAAGATTTTCCCCAATTTAATTATTAGAAAAAAGAGTTGGCCGTTACTGTTTGGCACCCCGCCGACCTACATCTTTTTCAGGTCTTGTTAAATCCCTAACCCATCGTCTCATTTAAGTCTAACCTTGTAACATTTTTTACATTACTACACAGGCAGGTTATTTTTGTACTGAATATCAACTTTGGTGGGGGACACTTACTACCGACCAACATCCTGGATTTCGAAATCCTTAGGTAATGATATTTGTAAATTATTCAGGGACAAGTTCTACTACATTTTTACACTTTAGACTATAAAAATCTCTCCAAAAATCTTTTTTTGTTTTTGTGGGAAACCGCAAAAAGCCCACCTAAAAGGTGATAGAGACCTTGGGTAGCAGCAAAACCACTAACGTGTGGAGAAAACTTGGCAATCTCGGTACATCTTAACGCCACACCAAGGATTTAGGTAGATTTCCTAATGGTAACGCACTACTCACTACGCCATCGGTCCCTACGGGTTTTGGCATCCGACAGTATGTGAGAGCACGAGAGTATCGATATATACTTTGATGAGGAATAACTGTATTTACAATGCTTTACCTAATAGTCATTTTAAAGTTTCACTGTGTCTGGTAACCCTAATTGGATACCTAATTGGAAGTCGTCGCAAAAATACGTAAATGACGGGCAACTGGTGTTGGAACAACTTGTCTTTGTCCCGTTTCCATCGTGTATAAAACGCAAAACCGGTGCAAAACAACACAACAGACCCAAACAAAGCGACGGACTCAAAACCGCGTGTTCACTACAGAAATGGATACGTCACTTAGAGTCAAAAGTATACATAGAAACAAACACTCTAGCTAACTTCATATGTGATAAAGATGGCATACACGATTCACGCAACGTGAGAAACCGAACACCGATTAAGTCCTGCGAACCGCAATCTGAACACAAAACAGAGTCATTTTTACCAAGTTCGCAGTCCATCGACTCAAAGAAGACAATTCACCCATACTGTGTAAGTAATCAAACATTTACAATTCTTCGGGCCCGCCCCGAGGGCGCCGAATTGTCCAATTTCCCCTGATAGTACCCGTTTTACGGTGAAAAATTACAGAACAAAAAAATATGTAGTATACACGCCTTTGAGTGTTCACAGTCTTTGTTTTTGAAGAGAGAAAGGGAGGCATGGGTGTAGAGATTTTTGCCCACCCTTGTTGCCTCGACTAGGTCAAAAAGTTGAAATTCTGATATTTTTAGTATAATTCATAATTATATTTTATTACATAATATACATGTAAAACGGAGACGTACGTAATGAATAGGCTATCGCATTAATTGAATTATAATTGATGCAGACTTTCGTCCGTCAGATCCCGTTTTACTACGTTCAGAGATGCACTTTTACAGTGTTGTAAT